CCGCACCGCGCCCCCGCCCCGCCGTTGCGGCCGGGGGCAGAGCCCCGGAGGCGGGAGCCTTCCATCCGGAGGGGTGGGGGCGCCCGCCAGCTCGGAGGTCCGGAGCGCAGGACGCCCCCTCCCCTTTGGAAAGCAGGGCCCAGGACTTGTTCTCCCCGCCGCCAGCCCGAGGTCGGGAGTTCACGAAGCCATTTACCGGCCTGGCTATTGTTCCCCTCGCTCCCCAGCCTGGGGTCTGGAGTTCTGAGCCCCTGCCCCAGGAGGGGATCCAAGGGTCCACCTGCCCCCCTCCCTTCCCAGGGACACAGGAAGGACCCCAGTAATTCGTCCTCCCATCTTCCACGCTAAGATTCACGAGGCCCCTTCTCCGGAGGCAATCTAAGGGTTCCTCTGCCCCCCAAGAACCCAGGAAGGGACGCTGGTTGTCTTCCCTCCCTCCAACTATGGGGTCTGGGTTGAAGAGGCCACCTGGAAACCCAGTCTTGCTTACCCACTGCCAGACAGGTAGGCTGGGTACACTGCCCTCCCCTGCAGACATCTGTTTATTGACACCCCTACAACCAGCCATGGGGTGGGCAGCCAAGGCATCTCCCCGAGCCCTAACCCCCCTACTCCCAGGAGAGGTGCCAGCTGTTGTTGCTCTGACTCACCGGAATTCAGTCTGGGCAGGACCCTTCTTCCAGGAAGGAACATAAGCATGATGACACAGTTGGGTACCACTCCGGGTGCCACTCAGGAATCTCCGCTCCCTTGGAGATGGGCCAGGGGTTCCCCCAGTAACCCAGGAGGATCCCCAGGTGTTATTTCAGCCTACCCTCCAGCTAGGGCTTAGGATTCAGGGTCTTCCCACCAGCAGGTGGCATGGTGGTAAAGGTGGCTGGATTCCACATGACCAGCAGCAAGGTTCAAATCCTGGACCCGGTGGCTTGAGAAACATGCCAGGCACATGTGCATGTGTGCCCGCAGTCCTGAAAGGAGTGAGCGATGGGGGAGAGGGGGTTGCAGCATGACCGTATTCCATGGCAGTGCTCTCTCACTGTCTCTGTCTCTTTCTCCCCGTCTCTCCTGGGCAACCATTCGTACCCTCTGGTACATTAAAGACAAAAAGAATCAGGATCTTCTATTTTATTTTATTTATTTATTTATTTATTTATAGAGGTTTTTGCTATAGGGCGCATGCGCTCACCAGCCAGACAGAGAGAGACAGGGAGACAAAAAGCAAGAAATCACCCCCCAGGGGGGATGGCCACGCTGCAATCCCTTCTCCTCCATTCTCCTCTCGGGATCTTGGGCATGCACGCACATGCGCCCGGCGTGAGTTTTAAGCCACCGGGTCCAGGACGTGAACCGCGGTCAACTACGTGGGAGTCCAGCAACATAGCCATTACGCTAACTGCTGGTCCCAAGAATCAGGATCTTCTAACCAATCAGGAAAACAGGCATATTGGCAACTGTTCCCACCCCACTGGCTATGGGGGGCCCATAGGTCTCCCCACCTCTCCTGACCAGAGGGGTCCCTTTTATAATTTCCTCTTCTCTACCTTTAAAAACAGGAGTCCAGATCTCAGTACACAGATGTTTAGACGCTTTTCCATCTCTAGCTGTGAGCTCTAGAATTCAGGCTGTCTTCTCCCCAGAGGACAAGCCAGGGCCCCGTCCTCCCTCAGCGACTGGGTTGGGGTTCGCCCTCTACACACACTTTTTTATTTGAGAGAGTTTTGGTATAGGGTGCATGTGCTTGCCAGAGAGACAGAAAGCAAGAAATCACCCCCCAGGAGGATGGCCTTTCCCCATTCCCTTCTCCTCCATTCTCCTCTCAGGATTTTGGGCATGCATGCACATGCACCCAGTGTGAGTTTCAAACTGCTGGGTCTGGGACTCAAACCACAGTCAACCATGTAGGATCCAGTTCCTTAACCACTGTGCCACCTACTGGCCCATCTACATATATTCTTATGCCCCAGGCATGGGATCCAGAGTACACGATGCCAGCCAGAGGTTCCCTTCTCTACCAGGAGACCCCAAACCTGCCATTCCCAACTGTGGGACAGAAATTCAGGCTGTGTGCTCCAGAGCACAGGAACCCTGCCACCCACTCTCCCCCAAGGGAACCCTGATCGAGGGCGTTGGAACTGAGGACTGTCTCCTCCGCAGGACCCAAGCTTCGCAGGAGAGGAGCCCAGGATGGAGAGAGGGGCAGAGCCATGCAGTTGGGGACTGGAGGCGTCTAGACCCGGGTCACCTGACTGCCACCCAGGTTCGGGGCTGAAAGGGGTGGGTCCCACCATGTCCCACTCCCTATCCTAGCTGGGGGGATGCTGTAGTTTCCCTGCAGCCAAAGATGACAAAGGGAAA